ACAAATATTACTACTATTTATATTATTAATACTACGACTGCTACTGATATTAATTCTGCCGGCACTACGACGACCACTTCCCTCCTACTACTACTATTATTATTACTACTAATATCACTTAAACTACTACTAACAATAATACTACTACGTCGACGAATATTAATACTACTGATATTACTTCTACTTGTACTACGACTAACGCTACTTCTACTATCACTTATCCTACTATTAGTAATTCTACCACTAATACTAGTTATCCACTATCACTACTATTACTTTGGCCTTTAAAAAAACTTAACTTCTTGACCCGTCCTCCACGCGGCGTCTATCTGGAGCAAGGACCTGCAGCGGTCCACTCCTGCCCAATATGTCTAAAGGCAAAAATCGCCTCCACTACCTACACTAACAGTACAACCAACATCAACCCCACCACCACCACCATCTTCATTATTGTCGTCAATGTAATGTTTACAATAACTGATAACCAAGACCACGACTCAGCAGCTGAAGCTGCAGGAATACCCACCGTTTGGAATGTGCCAAGAAGATAGTGCGGAAGATAGTGCAGTAGCTTACCTCGTCATATTCGGCCTCAAATTCGGCAGCTGAGCCCCGAAGTTTATCGATGCTGTCCAGCAGACCGTCTTTATAGCCACCCTGTACGCTAAGAATGTGATCCAACTGCTGCAGCTCTTTTTCTTTTATGCGCAGGTAGGCATATCGGACGGCCTCGACCCGGTCGCTTGTCTCTTTCGGGTAGGGTACATTGTACTTAACCACAAGTCCGTTGGCGTCCTGTCAGGGGAGAGGGGAGTAGACGCAAATAATAGACGAATTTTCTATTATTTTTTTTTCTTCACCTTGAGCGCGCTGTCTACTAACCAAACTGTTGGCAGCGCTTGTAAATGTAACGGGTGTTTGCGAAACCTACCTCGCAATGAATGAGAGATCGGTCTAAGTCAATATCCTTCTCCCGGATGTCACGGAGGGTGTCCATGATGAAGGCAATATCATCCAGGTTGCCCACATGTTTCGACAGGTTTCTATCCCACTCATCAATCTGAGCTTCGAGGTTGTCGAGTGGTGTGAGAAACAGTCCAACGTAGGCGTCGACATAAGCCTGGGAAGAAAAAGGAAAACTGGGCAGGGGTGCTTCCAAACAAAATAGCCTTTGTTCTTAGGCGCTCAAAAGTTTGGAGCTAAACGGGGTCACTACCTGCGTGCCACAAGCCCGTATGAGCCACGCGGTTTTGGGTTGCTTCCGCCGTTGTCCTAAACCTTACCCCTAGTAATAGGCAATGCCTTTAAAAACCCTATTGTTGACATGCCGGGACGTCACATGTATTTGTACACGTACGCTTAAAACGTCCACTTTAAACATACTACTCACAGGCTGTGAATAGCAGTCTTCACAAAAATGCTTGTCTAGGTTCCCTGTATTTTAGTCTTTATGTTCGTGGAGAGTGGGGGTCAGCACGTGCGTGACCCGCAAAGATAATCTGTTTTTAACTCTGACAGTCCCTAGTTCCACGCCGTCGCGACTGTATCTTGTCCTTGAAATACGATAGATGCCGGAATGCAGAGCGGGGTAGATATGGGATAAATCGCTACTACACTCCTCGTCGCCTGCAACGACCTGAGCCATGTTTTTTGCTGATTGGTTTGCAAACTTTGCCCGCTTACCTTTTTCAGATCACCAAGGATAGACTTTATTTTGCTCTTGAACTCGTCCAACACGATGTATAGGGCGCCAACAACGATACTGTTGCGTTCATTTG